GCAACACGTAATCTCATATATATATATATATATATATATATATATATATATATATATATATATATATAATTAAAATATATTAAAGGTATATAGGTAAATGATTATAAATATATTTTTAAAATTTTGTAAAATATCTAGGATTTCTATGGATATTTTTCGGGAATCCCAATGGTTATTCACACTAGTACGGTTCTATTTCCCCACGGTTCGGATATAGCAATCCTCGTCTCCATCCCCATTTGAGCTTCGGAGATAAAACTTACTCAACGTCATCCCATCTCTGTGGGTGAAGATTTCAGTTATTCTCAATCTCTATCGGTTCGGATCCCACAGTTTTCGGTTTTCCCCTCCCAATTGCCACCTCTAGTTGTTATCGTAAAACAAACTTCATAAAACCATATTTAATTCACATTCTTTGCATCCAATTTTTAATCTAATCCTATTGTCTTCTTTACTCACTTGTTTATTTTTTTGTTCTCTTTTCAGCAACCTCCTCCAGAAACGATAGAGAAAATATTGAAATTAAGGGTTTATAATTCATTTGAATAAGATACAGCAAAGTGTTTTTACGTGGTAATATAACATGGTCATACGTATATCTAACATGATAAAAAATAAAGGAAAAACCACGCTTATAATATCATTATTTTTTAACAATTGCTGAATTAGATTGATATCATTTAAATAAATAAGTGATTTGTTTAAAAAATCTTATTTGAAAAACTAGAGTTAATTGCATTACATGACCCTAAATTGTAACCCTCATTTTGAATCAACCTTTAAACTTTAGAATATTCTAATTTCATCCAAACTATGACTCTTGTTTTAAATTAGTCATTAAACTTTTGAATATTCTAATTTCATCCTTAAACTTTGACCCTCATTCTAATTGGTCCCAAACTTTTGAATCTTCCAATTTTGTCCCCTGTTTCATCCAAATATATAATGAATTTCAACCATAGTTTAACCTAAATTCATTTTTTTGAAACATATAATAATATAACTTGGCCAAACGATTTTATTAATAATGGATGTGATTAGTATATATGTGTAGTTTGGGATAAAATTGGAATGTTCAAAAAGTTCTGAGACCAATTTAGAATGACTATTATAGTTTGGGGGATAAAATTGAAATATTTAAAAGTTTGAGGACTAATTTAAAATGATAGTCATAATTTAGAGATGAAATTAAAATATTTAAAAATTTAGAGATTAATTTAAAATAAAGGTCGTACTTTAAAGAAATGTGATGCAATTAACACGAAAAATTAATAAATTAGAGATCTAATTAGACCCCAAAGTTAAGTGACTATTCAAACAGTTTAACCTAAAAAGTAATAGCTCAAGGGTGCAAAGAGCCTTTCTGCATTGAAAAAAAAAACTATTAAGCTATTAAACTTCTTTGCATAAAGTCAAATCTTTAAATTCAAAAACTTAATTAATATGGCCTTTAACTGATAGAAATTAGTATTGGTCATTACAGTGCTGACGTGTTACTTTATAGTATTGATGTAAAAAATTATATGTAGATGATAACATGCCAAAGATACTTAATTGATTCTTTTAAAATTTTAAAAATTTTAATTGTACTTTTATAATGTTTGAGAATTTATTTAATTTTTAAGAAAAAAATAACAAATTAAAGAAATTATTTAAAATTTTATAAATTAAAAAAACTAAAAATAAAACAGTAATAAAAATTTAAAATACTAAGTAGAAATATCAGAATTTATAAAATAATAAATTTTTGAAAACAAATTTTTTAAAGAGTTTTAAATTATTATAAAAATAAATACTTATATCAGAAACATCTTCGATTGTCTATGGTTAATTTGAGCTATTGCTATTCCTTGAACATGATTTCAATGAAATTAATGTTACTTTTTCTAACAATGGTTTTTGATGTTCTTTTCTATAGTAAACAAAATTATAGGATAGAGTTTGCTCCAAAATAGCATTCATGAGCTTTATTTTTAATCTTAAAGTTTGATTTTTTAAAAATATAATTGATAATAGGGGTGGCAATAGGGGCAGGGACGGTTTTGCATTATCCATTCTATCTCCAACACTTGCGGGTACGGTTTTCGGAATCCTCATTATATGTTTATGGGATTCTTTTCTCCCTATATTCATCCCTTACGGATTCCTATGAGTTTCGATTAATCCTCATCCCAAAAAATAAACAAACATTTTTTAAAATCAATGTAACACCTAAAACTTATAAGATATATCAGATTGTCTTAAATTGGTCTCTATCTATAATATGAAGGTTTCACATGTCATTATTCATCTAACACCCAATGTATATATACAATCTTAACAATTTTAAATCTCAACAAATCAATGTATATTAAATAAGAAAATATATAAACAAATCAATGTATATTAAATAAGAAAATATATAAACTTCAATTTTAGTTCTTTTGAGATGTAACGGTGGCAACACGTAATCTTACAATCTTATTACATATATTTTTTTTATTAAAATATATATTAAAGGTATATAGGTGAATGATTATAAATATATTTTTTAAATTTTGTAAAATATCGAGGATCCCTATCGATATTTTTCGGGGATCTCCACGATTATTCACACGGGTACGGTTCGGTTATCCCCATGGTTCGGATATAGAAATTCATGTCCCCATCCCCATTTGAGTTTCAGAGATAAAACTTCCCTCATCCCATAAATGAAGATTTCAGTTATTCTCTATCTTGTCGGTTCGGATCCCCACAGTTTTCCATTTTTTTCTACCTAATTGCCACCCTAATTGATACTACACGATGACACCGAATACAATTAAGAAAATAAAATTAGTGACCTAAAATAAGACTCATGAATATTATTTTGCTATAAACTCTATCTCATGTTTTTTAAACGATAAGAATGGACCTAAAAAGTCGTTACGACTCTAATGCAAGGTTGATTTAGTTGAAAATATAAGAATGACAACAAATTCATATTGTCTAGAGATATTCAAATACCTTTATGATGAAAGTGACCAATTTTGTTAAGACATTATAAATACTTTTAAATATTTTAATAAATTATAATTTAGCATTTCATAATTTCCAATATTTTTAATATTTTCTTAATTTTTTTAATATTATAATATTTTTTATTTTTAAAATTGTACTTTTATTTAAATGTCAAATAAACATTTGAACTTTCTAAAATGAATTAAGCCATTGAAATTTCTAAAAAATTAATTAAACTCCTATTCATATCATCATTAGCATATAGACCTCTACATCAATATCATAAACTATTATATCAATATTGTATTAGATCATTGATGATTTCTATCTATCAAAGGACCACATTAATTATCTTTTTATATATTAAACTAGAAATACTAATATTGAATTGGTTTTAGGGTCTAAAACAATATATAGTCACACGACATTTCTGATTCTAAACAAGATTGATTTTGGGTGAAAATGGCCCAACAGGCCAGACAAATAAAAATATTAACTCCATTACCCATTTCTAAAATTATTTTGGGATATTTACAATGACTTGGAATTCATCACGTTGATGTGATAAATTTTAATAAAATATTTTTTATTCAAGTTTATCACTCTATCATAATAAATTCTAATAAAAAATATGTTTTTTGAAACTCAAATTTGAATAAAAAATATTATTTAAATAAATTCGTTATATGAACTTGACGAATTTACCATATATTGTAGCATTTGTAGAGATCCTGAATTAAAATTCGGGTTAGCCTAATGGCTAAATTTTTACCAGCTTGACTTATTGGCCAATTTTACCATTGGTTTTGAGCTCAATCTTGAGCCCAACACAAACCATAGTACCATATTAGGGAAGAGCTTTCTTCAGTCTTGTTTCTCTTTTTCTCTAAGCTTGTCAATATTAAAAGTGATCCACGTGTCACTTCCTGAGTTGTTATGCTTACAAAAATAACGTCCTTCTCATGGGATAAATCGCGAAAGTACAGGCAAACTTTATCTAACATGCAATTTGATACATAAGTTTTGATAATGTATAATTTCATGCATATTTATTTTCGAGAAGGTATAGGTACAATTTTGGTTGATTAACGATTATAAAAAATATATCTGATTATTTTTAGTAGAATTAATTATTAAAATGTATAAATTAGATATATATTAGATCAAAATAAATTTGTATAGTCCCATAAAATAATATTTTTGAAATTATAAATAAATTTAATCAAAACTCACATAATTTATATGAGATGGAATTCAAATTTGAGAGCTCAAGATTATAAAAATTCAATCTTTCCATTTTAACTTATCTCTTATGGGCTCATACGTGACAATTTAATATAGATTCATTTTAAAAATATATTAACATTGTTGTCTACATAAAATTATTTTATATTTATTTATTAGATGAGTAAATAATTATATTTATTTAATATAAATTATTTAATTATTTAGTTACTTTAAATGCGTATAAATAATAAAAAAAAATATGCACAATCAAATTAAAATTAGCGTTTTTACGTATACATTTATATGAAATCAAAGAAAGTTCATGCATAATAGTGTTTATTAAATAAATTTGATATTTATTAATTTCACCCGATCTCAAAAAATAAAAGTAGAATTATGTTTTGAACCGTAACTGTGATTAAATTTGAAAGTTAGTTACTTTCTTTAATGTAAATTAATCTTATATTTTTGTAATTTAATTAATATTATTTAATTATTTTGAGTAAATTATTTTTTCTTTTGAATAATCTGGAACAATTATAAACTAATATATGCTAAAAAATATTTAATCACACACTCTGATGCAATTGTTTAAACTCTCATTAAAAAAAATTCTTTTAATGAGAGACCTCTTAGTTGATTTTAGGAAAAAAATATGTGATTAACTATTTAGAATAAATGGCAAAAACATAAGGACTAAATCGCGTATCGAATATGGTAGAGAGACTATAAGCAAATTTGACCAATTAAAAATACTAAAAAGACAAATATAAATGTCATATAAGAAATGAAAAAAAAAACCACTCACCGTGTTCCGCTCATAAAGTCTTCAATTCCCTCTCTCTCTATCTTCTCTTTCTGAATTTCCAAAATCAGATCAAATCCTAATTGTCCAAATTCACATCGTTTTCATCCAAATCATATCTATTTGATCTCTTAATTCATAATTGCTATTCGATCTTTATTTATTTCTTACTGGATCCTCAGGAAAAAAATTGATAGGCATTTTGGGGTAGGGAACTATAAAACTTGCTTTTAATCGAATGGCGTGTGTAAAAGGGGTGAATAGATCGGCGTCAGTGGCGCTGGCACCGGACGCGCCGTACATGGCGGCTGGCACGATGTCTGGGGCCGTGGATCTATCCTTCAGTTCATCAGCGAATCTCGATATCTTCAAGTTTGATTTCCAGAGTGAAGATCTCGAGCTTCCCCTTGTAGGCGAGTGCCCTAGTTCAGAGCGCTTTAACCGCCTAGCTTGGGGCAAGAACGGGTCCGGTTCAGATGAGTTTTCGCTTGGGCTCATTGCTGGTGGCCTCGTTGATGGTAGCATCGATCTTTGGAATCCCTTAAACCTGATCCGGTAAATTGGATTTTCTTGTGCTTACATTCCATTTATCCAACTTTTTTTCGCTTGAGTTGGTAATGTTTTCAATTAATTGCCCACTCTTTTGTTTCTATAAATTAACTGGATATATTGTGAGTATTTAGTGTAAAAGATTTGTGTGGATGGGAATAAGTTGTGCCTTTGTAGTTGTTTGGGATTAAATTGTTCTGTTATCTAATCAGCATTGATACAATTCGGATGTGGACTTTCTCTAATTTTGTAGCTACTTCAAGGCTCCAGCTTTTTAGGCTTCATTTAGTTATAATGTGCACGCGATTTGTGAGTTCTAGATTACTTATTGTAACTGTATTGGACGATGGTTGGTTGTAAGTTTGAATCGACTCTGGGTGAATTATTTATTTGAAATATACTTCTATTTTAAAATTTCTTCTTAGTTTCTTTGTTTAGCTAGAGCAAGTTGGATAAAATGGACATTAATTTGTTGTGCTAGATCATTTCTGCATTCCCGTTGAGTAGGCTACGGACATGTTTTGTACTTTCTTTCGTGTGTCAATGGTATTTTTGGGGTGTTGGCCTAGGAATTAGGAATGATTGTTAATGATAATTGGATGTTCATAGCATAGAGCAAAATACTTATGTTGGCATACTTCTTGTTTTATATTCCTGTGTAAGTTGGATTGATTATTTTGTGTAGGCTTTTAACTGGGTGAGTTATGCATGTGGTTAAAGAGCAGTAAACATTTTTCTTTCCTGGTATCTGCTTTCTGGTTACGTTAGGTCTATGCTGTATTTTTCTAGAGTCTTAAGAGTCCAAAAGTAAAAGTTGAACTTTATCTTTTGGGAGCCCCCCCTACCACACAAAAAAAAAGTTGGTTTTTTATTGGGACCCTTTCTTATGGCAGTGACACTATTTTACCTGTTCTTTTAATGTCTTTTTTTTTTCAAGATTGGATTTGATTACTTTCATATTTTTCTCTTCAGAAGATTTTTGCTAATTATCACTAGATTTTCTTTAAGGTGATATATATGATTAAACTAGTAATTTTTCGTTGCTTCATTTCCCCAGTTCTGAGGAAAATGAACAAGCTCTTGTTGGACATCTTTCAAAGCACAAAGGACCTGTGAGTTACTTTTTTCTGTAACAAATGCTTGAATCTTGATCCAAATAGATGAAATTTTTCGTCAATCATTTGAAGATTGCATTGTATGTCTACTTATTTTCCTTCCCCAATTCCCATATTTCAGGTTCGTGGTCTTGAGTTCAATGCAATTGCTCCAAACTTATTAGCATCTGGGGCAGATGATGGTGAAATTTGCATCTGGGATTTGGCAGCACCAGCACAACCCTCTCATTTTCCGCCTCTTAAGGTACATGTATTCTTCTGTGTATTCATTGGATGCCTTTTAGATATACTACCCCTGTGGAAAAAGAAGGAAAAAAGTCTGGAGGCATCTGAAAGGTTTTTCGGTAATCATGCAGGGTAGCGGTTCTGCCACTCAGGGTGAAATCTCATTTCTCTCTTGGAATAGCAAGGTTCAACACATATTGGCATCAACTTCATATAATGGAACAACCGGTGAGTAAATGAATGGACACTAGATTTTTTGTCTCGTTATTTAAGCTTAGCCAGGAAATTTATGGTTTTATCTTTCCAGTTGTTTGGGACTTGAAGAAGCAAAAACCAGTGATAAGGTAAATTTCATTTTTTCCCACGTAAATCTTCTAGGTGTCTGCGTGTTACTTCAATTTTGACCTAACCTTTCCCCCTTTAATTACAGTTTTGCAGATTCCATAAGAAGACGAAGCTCTGTTTTGCAGTGGCATCCTGATGTTGCTACACAACTTGTTGTTGCATCTGATGAAGATGGCTCACCTGCGCTTAGGGTAATGGTCTTATTGATGACATTGCTTCTATTGAGGATATCTATTTGTTGGAATTTGTTAATTTCTGGTATTTTTGCTAACAGCTTTGGGACATGCGAAATATAATGTCACCAGTGAAGGAATTTGTAGGGCACACAAAAGGTAACTGTGCTTGACAAGTTGATTCATTGTTTAAAACTTGCTGATAGTGTTATCTTCTTTACTTTGGATGTTTGTTTCTGTATTTGATACAAGAATTATATGCTATTGAGTATTTTCTATTTTGCTTTTCTCTCTCTCTAGAATTGAGAAGCAGTTGCCTATATTTTTTTCCTCAATTAGAGTTCCAATGACAATGGAAGGGCGAAATTATTGATTAACTATTTTCATTTAAGCTGACAGCAGACCATAGTATTAAGATTGAATAGGTGCCCTAGTCGGAAGTGGTCCTTGATAAATTAGGATATTGTCTCTTCCCTTGTATTGGTCATTTGTTCAATTTTTCTGGCAGTTATCCATCTCCACTTCTGTTTATGCATTATTTTCTAGGTATTTTCTTGTCAGAAGTCGAATAGGAATTGTGTTATTTTTGGTTCAGATAGTTTGCGGTTATTTTTCCAGGTGTAATTGCAATGGCATGGTGTCCCTCAGACAGCTCTTATTTACTCACATGTTCCAAAGACAATCGAACTATTTGTTGGGATACAGTTACTGGAGAGGTGGGTGAATGTGTTAATTATTGTTATATGCTTTAGGCTTTCCTTCTGACATCTGTTCTTTTATCAAACAAGTATAGTCTGAATTGTGATTTTTTTTATTTTTTCCATTTGGGTAATAGATTGTCTGTGAGTTGCCTGCTGGCACCAACTGGAACTTTGATGTGCACTGGTATTCAAAGATACCAGGAATAATATCAGCATCTTCATTTGATGGAAAAATAGGGATTTACAATATTGAGGTATGACCTTGTTTAAATTATCTTTCCTATTTATTATGGTTTTGTAAACAAAGATTTCTTAGCAGTTGGACATATGTATGACAGATCAATTGCAATCTGCTTATCATTATCATACACTTGTTTAGGGATGGCATGTTATGTATCTTGTTGGGAGTACTCTTGTAATTTATTGTGGCGAATTCTTTTAATCTTATTGCTCTAGCGGGTTTGTTTAAGAAAATGATACTTGTCCGGTAGGACCAGTACCAACAATTATGCCTCTCAGAACTCTTTCCTCCTTGAACCCTAGATTTAACAACTTTGGGGTAATTTGTTACCTTTATTCTGCAGGGTTGTAGTCGATATGGTGTTGGGGAGGGTGATTTTGGTGCAGGTAATTCATCTTTTTATTTCTGGTATTTGTATTTTAACCACAGAGTTGGTTTGGACTGTTTACTAGCCTTCAATTTGATTCGGGTTGAAATATCTATGTTCTCCATCTATGATTATATACTGGGCTGGGTAGGCCAGTATTGAACTACTACATGTATATATATATGTGTGTGCGTGTGCGTGTGTGTATAATATGTATAATTATTATTGTATATACATCTTTTTCAATATTTGACCTTATTACTATTAAGCTTTGGTAGTCAATGAGAAACACATTGCTGACTGCCAATATTAGTTTGGGAAGATACTCACTTCTTGTTTCTAAGATTATACTAATATTTATATTATTGGTACTTCATTTTCGTGCAGTGTCATTGAGAGCTCCAAAATGGTATAAACGTCCTGTTGGGGCATCTTTTGGTTTTGGAGGAAAACTTGTATCTTTTCGCCCTCGGTTATCTGGTTTAGGTAGTTCTGCATCATCAGAGGTAGATATTGCCAGCCCCCACTCCCCCACCCCCCACCCAAAAAAAAATTATATTTAAATGCCACTGGCATTCTTCTCTTCGGGAACTTAATGCATATATGCTATTTTCAGGTGTTTTTGCATAACTTAGATGCTGAAGAAAGGCTGGTCGTCCGTTCATCTGAATTTGAATCAGTGATACAGAACGGGGAGAGGTCTTCACTAAGGGTTTTATGTGAAAAGAAGGCCCAAGAGTCTGAGTATGTCATCTGAATTAAGGAATTGTAGTTGTTTTTATTCTTGTCCTTTGTCAAACAATTTGGTTCTTCTACCAGTTAATACTTTTATGGTTCATTTGGAATTCTATACAGATCTCTGGATGATCGGGAAACTTGGGGCTTTCTAGAAGTGATGTTTGAAGATGACGGGACAGCTAGGGCAAAGTTGCTCACACATCTTGGTTTTAGTCTACCTGAAGAAAAAGATACTGTACAAGATGACCTTTCTCAGGCTGTAAATGATGTTACGCTTGAGGATAAGGTGAGCTATGAGGGTGAGAAAGTGGCTGCCCCATTTGCAGTTGATAATGGGGAAGATTTCTTCGACAATCTTCCAAGTCCCAAAGCTGATACCCCTGTTTCAACTTCTGAAAATAATTTTTCTGTTGAGAGCACTGTTCCTAGCACAGATTTAATACCTCAAGAAACAGACAGACTGGAGGAAAGTTCAGATCCATCATTTGATGATGCTGTACAATGTGCGTTGGTGGTTGGTGACTATAAGGGAGCAGTTGCTCAGTGCATTGCTGCAAATAAAATGGCTGATGCTTTAGTTATTGCTCATGTTGGTGGTCCCTCCTTATGGTCAAACACATGTGATCAGTATCTTAAGATGAGCCATTCGCCATACATGAAGGTGAAGTAACATTTTATATTATCTGAATGGTTTAATATGTATCTTTGTAGAAATAGGAATTCAGATTCTCAATATTTACATTGGCTACAGGTTTACTTCTTTTTTTGTTTCTTCATTTGTCACGTAAGTTTGGAAATCATGTGTTAGCTCTGCTGTTTTAGGTTGTCTCTGCAATGGTGAACAATGATCTCATGAGCCTTGTCAACACCAGACCTTTGAAATTCTGGAAAGAAACGTTAGCGCTCCTCTGTACAGTAAGTTTCTATTTTGGAAGTAGATGTATATTGGTTTATCAGCATATTCTATAACCTGGTATTGTTATTATTATGGACTTATTAATCATATTTGATAAGCAGTTTGCACAGGGGGAGGAGTGGACTGTACTCTGTGATACGCTTGCTTCAAAACTAATGGTCAATGGGAATACTCTGGCAGCAACTCTATGTTACATATGTGCAGGAAATATTGATAAGACAATAGAGATTTGGTCAAGGTGCCTGTCAACTGCATATGATGGGAAATCTTATGTCGATCTTCTCCAGGTAAGTTAGTAATGTATAGTACTCAAAAAATTAAAATTTAAGTTTTTCTGGACAGAAATCTGACTATTGATGATTGTCTTCTAGGATTTGATGGAAAAGACCATTGTCCTTGCTTTGGCAACTGGCCAGAAGCGATTTAGTGCATCCCTTTGCAAGCTCGTTGAGAAATATGCTGAAATTTTGGCAAGTCAAGGGCTTTTAACAACAGCAATGGAATACTTAAAATTGTTGGGTTCTGATGAGCTGTCACCTGAACTAGTGATCTTAAAAGATCGTATTGCGCTCTCTACAGAACCTGGTATGTGCTTTAGAGGGACAATGGTTTCTGCTGTAGTGGTGTTGCATATGGGTTTTTGATCTACTCATGCTAATTTATACTTTTTTCAAGTAACTCATATGAAAATGGTCGTGTCAGCGACTGAAATGTCAAAATATTTCGACTTGTTAGAGAACTTAATAGTGCTTAAGCTTTGGTGATCTAGGTTAAGTCAAGGTCTATTAGATGTTCTTATAAAAAAAAGGTCTATTAGATGCATTTTTCTGGTGTCCTAGTTTCTTCCATTCTATTTTACAGGTTTTCTTGTGACTACTGACTAGAGATAACGAGGACATGAAATTAGCTTACTGATGCCTGAGCTAAGTTTTGTGACCACTATTTTTTATCTTGCAGTGAAAGAAGCTAAATCTGCTGGTTTTGAGAACTCTCATCCAGGTGGACCAGTCTTTGAGCCTTCACAACATTTATATCAGGTTCTTTATCTTGCATTTCTCTTCTAAATGATCTGTTTTTGATTGATTTCACCTTGATAATCTGTTTTGATACTGTTGATGGCTTTTTTTTTGTTGGGGGGGGGGGTTTGCTTTTCCTCATTCCTTAGGATTCAGCTGCATCACAGATTCAGCCAAGTGTTCCTGGCAGTTCTTATAACGAAAATTATCAGCCTTCTTATTCTACATATGGAGGATATGCTCCTCCTCCCTCATATGTATCTCAAACACCTCCGGCCAGTGCCAACATGTTTGTTCCAACCCAACCTCCCCATATTTCTCAGGTACACTGTATTTGGTTTCTTTTTGTGCACAGCAATCTATTTGATGGTAGACTTAAATCAGTGGCTAAGTTGGAATAATATTTGTTGTTTTCTTCTGGTTTTACTTTTAATCTGGCATGCTACCTCAGCACCTAAATACAGTCGATGAATCATACCATCCATTTGGATGTATTCTCAGGAAAAGAAAGTGCTTGTCTAGAGATTGTTTGATTGAAAGAATGGGTTTAATTAGGACAACAAGGCCAGGCTAAAACTAGCATGGGATAATTATATGTTTGCAAATGTTGCTGCTAAAAAGTTTGCAATCTTGATTGACTTGATAGTTTTTCAACCTACAAACAGCTTTTATTGCCAATCTAAAAGTTTTTACTAGTTTTTTCTGAGATCCACTATGTTGGGCCAAAATTGGAAAAATTGAAAATCTGAACCAAACCGGCATCGTATGTTTATTTGGATTTGATATTTTGCATATCCTGTTTTGAAGAAATGACTTGAGTATTTGCAGAAAGAAGATTAGCTATTGCATTGAAAAGGCCGTGGTAATCCAAAATGAACACTATATCTCTGGACTCTGGCTTACTAATTTTTTCTAGCTTGCATTTTTAGTATTTTAATGCTTGATTGTCTTTGAATTTAGTATATCAGCTTGATCCTTGACTAAAAGTTTCTCGTTCTTCCAGAAAAATTTTGCTCCTTCACCCGAGATCACTCAGCCTACTGTTAGACCCTTTGTTCCTTCAAATCCTCCTGTTCTAAGAAATGCTGATCAATACCAGCAGCCAACTACCTTGGGTTCTCAGTTATATCCTGTGTGTACAGCTACATTTAATTTATAGTCGACACCATAGTTATTATTCCAAGACTGGTACACTGATTTATTTTTGCATGGTTTTCAGGGTGCTGCAAATCCTACCTATCCTGCTCCCCCTGCGGCTGGTTCATTTGCACCTGTCCCATCACAAGTGGGATCAGTTCCTGGCCCCCACATGCCACAAGTTGCGGTTCCCACCCCAGCACCTAGGGGTTTTATGCCAGTTACGAACACACCCGTTCAAAGACCTGGTATGGGCCCAATGCAACCTACCAGCACTACACAGTCAGCACCTATACAGCCACCTGCAGCACCTGCTGCTGCTCCACCAACAGTGCAGACCGCTGATACATCAAATGTACCTGGTAACTGCTAGTTTCTTGGTTGCTTATGCTAATGCTGTAGATGTTTATTGGATTATGGAGATACTCTACACGTATGGTCTGTCCACCACTCTTCTGGATTACTCCAGAATGAGGTTTACTATCCAAAAAATAAGTAATATTTATCTTTAAATTATTACCCTATGGTAGAACGTTTACAAAATATAATAAATTCTCAAAAAAACGGTATCTTTGAAATTTCTTTTGTATTCTTCGCACTAGTTATTCCTCCTTTTGAACTTGCATAGTCTACATTAATACGATTGATGGTATAATCTGTGGCTTAGGAACTCCCCAGATCAATCAAATTTGTTAATGGATTTCAGCAAGCTAATAGATAATATACATAAACATTTATGTATGTATTTGTATATGTTGATATAAATACTTTTGGTAGTGACTTTACCTTGTTTGCTATTTTCAGCCCACCAAAAATCTGTAATAACTACCTTAACTAGACTTTTTAATGAGACATCTCAAGCACTTGGAGGTGCACGTGCAAACCCAGCGAAGAAGCGTGAAATAGAAGACAATTCAAAGAAAATTGGTGCCTTATTTGCTAAACTCAACAGTGGAGACATTTCAAAAAATGCTTCTGATAAACTTATTCAGCTCTGCCAGGCTTTGGACAAGGATGATTTTGGTACGGCTCTGCAAATCCAGGTATGGTGGGGGGAAGGAACGTTTATTCTGATTTCTTAACGTGGGAAACTAAACTAAAACTGCTTCAATTTTGTGTTCACCTTTTATCTCTCCCCTGAAACAGGTTCTTCTTACTACAAGTGAGTGGGATGAGTGCAACTTTTGGCTTGCAACTCTCAAGCGAATGATTAAGACGAGGCAGAACGTAAGATAAGTTACGAAAATGCACAAAATCAAAGAGGGCGGATTCCAAAGTCTCAGTTATTTTCCCTCATGCGGTCTCACACTTGGGGCACTTATAAATCCTTTGAATGGCTCTCCACTTCTGTTTGCTGCCTGCAGGGTTTTGGTTAATTTGGTCCATTAGATGCTTCCTGCTAAAGTACTTGCCTGCAGTTAGTGGAATTAGTTTTCAGGACATAATGTTGATTGTTTTCCATTAGACATTTTTTAGTATGGAGAAAGTAGAGTTGGTTCATTTAGTTGAGCTTCCATTTTCACCCCATTTGTGGGACCAGAATTCCCATCACTGGGCGAATTGGATGGACATGCTGTTGTTGCACTGCACTGTTGGGTTTCTGCATGGACCATTACTTGTACAACCCGTATGCTTTTCTTTTTTATCAATTAACATGAAAACAGAATGTTTTTAATAAAATTCTTATAATTTCATTTCGTTGTTGGTTTCCTTTCCATCTTCTATTTCTTTGTGAGCTGTATCTTTTGAACATGTATCATGGAACTGCAAAATAAATCATATTATGACGCTAGTTATGTGTTTTAACAATGGTTTTATTCATCATATGATTGATTGTTCATAGTTTATGTTAATAAGAGCTTGTAGTCAACAGAAACTGTGTTTTCGGAACATATTATTTATACAACTCAAAAGAATATGATTATTTTTTTGATAGATTTTTGAAAATTTCAAATTTTCTTATATTTTAGATTTTTGTGTATTTTTTATTGATAATATATTTTTATTTCCTCAAATTATATAAATTTGCTATCTAAAATTTTATAAATTCACTCCTTTAATATAAAATTCTATATCCGTTTCTGCTCACACCATCTACCTTGGATGAAAAAAATTGAAATAAATAATAAAATGGCTGGTTGTCCATCTAAATCTAAAGAAATGGAAATCATTCGATCCTTGAACCTTTACTCTCTAGAGAAAGTGGTCCTTTCGTTTGTGCTTGACAGTTTCCACAAATTAGGGGAGAAAAAACTAAATAGACACGTTAACCCTTCACCTTTTTGCTCTTCTCTTTTTTGTCCCACATTTTGTTTCCACGTTGATGAGTGAAATTGACATTTTCCAAAGAAATTTCTATTGTTAGACCCAATAATTAGGCAGTGATGGGCTCATTCAACTGTATTGCAGGATGTAATGATGTGCATATTTGAGCTGTAAAGCCTTTTGATATTTGGGAACGTAGACTTTGTTGCTTCCTGCTAACAACTAAAGACATATTCCCTTACTCTCAAGTCTCGACATCTGAAACAGTCCTTGCTTTATGTCATCGTTTTCTACTTGTCATGTTTCTGGTTTGTTTTCTTTTGTCAGCACAAAGCAAGGGGTTTGCGCCCCTATGATGCTTCTGGCACAATGGACCCGTCCCCAAGTAGCCAACTCGTGCTGTCTTTTTCTTGGACAAACAAAACTTCAATGTAAAAGCAACTCAACAAATTTCCTCTCTTTTAGACTTGGTTCACTTTAAAGTTGATATTTTCTCCGTTCTTCTGTCTTTTCATTCTCATCGCGCTATCGATGGTATGAGTCACGAGGATGTTATGATGCAAATCACGTCTAAATGATTGTATTAAAACAGTTGTTGATGGCTAAATCTCACGTTATACGTCCCAACAACTGAGACTAGAGATTTGTCCATACATAAATAATTCCCTTTTTAACAATTCTTATCGAGGAGGAGAGGATTGTAGAATTTTACTCGTAATAATATTGAACGCACAACTTATAAGGAAAAGAATATGTCAATTAAGAATTTGTAATCACATACTCTAGAGATTATTGGCACAATAAATAAATAATTATAAAGTATTTTGAATGTATACATTTAATGTTATCATGATCAGATTGAATTTTCCTATTGCAATTTTAGCATAAGGAAAAACTGGAGTGAATTAAGAAGAGAAATTTTGCAGTTTTCGCATTCAAATGGAGGAGGAAATTTCATGACCCAATGAGGAGGAAGAGTGAATAATCATCATCTTTTGAGAACTTCCAACTTCAATGTCCCACCCTAACAAATCATATAGGTAAATTACACGTATAGTATCTAATTATCTTATTTGTTTCGTTTAGTCATTCACTTATTTGTTTTAAAAATTATATCTAAATTTACATTTTAGTCACTCACCGTTAAAATTTTAACAAAACTAATGACATGGTATTTTTTTTAATTTTTCAATGATTACATTACATGACATTATATTATAGGAACACGTCAGCATCATTGTTAATTTTTCAACAGAGGTGACTAAAATAAAATCAAAACTAAATATTATGTATGATTTTGAAAAAAAATAATTAAATGAAATAAAAGTGATAGTTGGAGTTTAAACGTGTAATTTACCCTAAAAGTAAACCATGGCCTTCAGAATCAATTATTCGTCCTTCCTCTGTGTGCATTGTCTATTTTAGGAATGCAAATGGAACAGATCCATCAAAGTAAAACCATTTGCAGATAGGAAATACTATCAATATGCCAATTATTTAATTACATCAACAGCAGGTTCAAATTACAAAAAAAAAAAAAATATCAGTAATTAAGTGATGAATTTTGGATTCAATAGCTTTTTCAGCAACATATACATTCACAATGAACACCGCCATGTTAACAATTTTAAACAACTTGATTGCTTCAAATCACCAAAACAAACCTCAAATATACATTCATGAATTTCACTCTCCATTGCCAATCATTTCAATGTAAAACATTTTTCTTGATCAACACATCGCTTCACCCCGAAAAGAGCTCCCGACTTTCCCCGGTCGACCGATTCCTCCTCAAATCGAAAACAGCATTCTCATTTCCGACATTCTTTAGTCGACTTCTCCCTTGGCTACCATATCTTTTGTTATCAAATCTGTGACTAGAAAATGCATCAGCCTCCCCCTCATCAATACTAGGGATGCCCATAAGTTCCATCAAGTTGCTCCTAAAGCCTAAATCGGAATAGACTCTGCGTGAGTCCTTGGTGGCAAATGTACCATCGACTGCATCCGAATTCTCTTTGGTGTTCCTAGATTCGACCGGACGCCCCATCGTTTCCACCATCATACACGGATTGTTGAAACCATTCCATGTATGTAAAGGAACCAATTTGCTTAAACCGGTTAACCAACCGACGACCTCTTTCATCGCTGGGCGTCGCTCCCTACAAGGCCTCGCACATTTAGCCGCTACTACGGCCAACTGCTTCCTAACTATAGGATCCTTGGGAGGTGCAATCCTTGGATCATAAACAGCAACAATGTTCCCTTTCTTTACAAGAGGAATCGCCCAATCAACAATCGAAGGCGGTGAGTGCGCAACATCGATAGCTTTTCTACAACTTATAATCTCTAACAACAAAATCCCAAAGCTAAAAACGTCAGCTTTTGTACTCAAATTATCAGGGGTCACATAGCATGGATCAATATACCCAATAGTACCAGCCGGTGGGGTTGATCTAAGCCTATAATCATCAACACCGCACCTCAGTGCCAACCCAAAATCGCCGAGCCTTGCATCGAAATTCCTATCAATCAACACATTTGCAGACTTAACATCTCTATGTATAATCGAAGGTTTTTCTGAGTGAAGTGTGTCTAATGCTTTGGAAACTTGCAAAGCCAATCGAATTCTTCGACCCCAATTCAAAGGCCTCGAAGAATTGGAGTGAAGAACATCATATAATGTGCCATTACTCATGAATTCGACAACAAGTAACCGATCTTTAGGTTCATTAGAGAAGCCGAGAAGATTAACTAATCTGGGGCTACGAATGTTGGACAAGATTTCGATCTCGTTATCGGCTTCCTGGCTGGTTTCTTGGTTCCTGGAAGAGGGTCTCTTGATGGCGACGTGGCGTCCCCTGAGAACAGCCTTATATACGGCGCCATGGCTGCCTTTTCCTAGAAGCCTTTGATCGGAGAATCCCTTGGTGGCTGCTTCAAGGTCACAGTAATCGAACTGTTGGATCTTGATGGGGTTTTCTTGCTTGTCGGCGGATGCTTTCGAAGACGATGAATGTGGGTAGTCGTGGAGGATGAGATTACAGAGACTGCCGATTCCGCTTTGCAAGAAAGATAGCCCATCAAAAAAGTTGGATTTTTTAACTATACTGGAAATGGAAATTATGGCAATTTTGACAAGTAATACAACTCAAATATCAAGGCACGACTCGAGAGTGTTATAAATTCATGGCGGTGCTGGGAATGCATGAAGGGCTTAGGTTGAAGGCTTTCGAGATTTGGGAAAATGTAAACTTTTCTTTTTTTGTTTTGAGAGCAAATTTTAGGGACATGGGGACATTGCCAAATTGGAATCCCCAACTGTTTTAAACCTACAATTATGCCATGGATTGCGTATGCTTTACTTTACTTTACTTTACATGTAGTTGGGTAATACTACTACTATAATTTTATGTTTGATTAGGTTAGCTTTATTTTCATAGGCCTTCTTATTTATTAGGTAAATTACATAAATGGTCCATTGATTATAAAATATTTTTTATTAAGTCCCATAATTGATTATTCATATGTTCTAAATTTGTCTTTTCCGTTAAAAGATCGACGGTCTTCTAAGTTGGATGTTAATTTGTTGACTGAGATATAATTAAATCTTATCCTAGAACCGTTTGAGTTGTATTTTGTTGATCGACTCTCTATTTACATTATATCGTCAAGCCATTGTTTGAAACTTTATGCTCTCAAGCCATTGTTTGAAACTTTATGTCGTCAAGTCAATGCTTGAAAATAACGGTAGTGACAGTAGACATCATTAAAATATGATTTTATCATGTCCGAGTCAACAGGTTAACGTATAGCTCAAACGATTGTCAATTTTTTAACCGAAAATGATGAGTTTGGAACATATGAATAGTCGAATGACCATTTTGTAACTTTTAATAATTGGAGGCTCAACAAAATAGTGTTCCATAATTAGTGTATCATTTTATAATTTTAATAATCGAAGACTCAACAAAACATCATCATATAATTGAAGGACCGTTTGTGTACTTTACCCTTCTTGATTTTACCTCACATTTTATAAGACTTCTAGGATTTAAAGAATACAATACCAACGCAAATCAAAGGGATTGTTATTATCATTTTAAGTCCTGAGTCATACATATAAAGATATATCATTGATTGTCAAATAGTTTATATTTACAACACTGTCGTGATTGTCAAATATGAACATTCGTTGTTATGCGCAATCAATCATTTCGTCTTTTACAAGTAACCTTG